TTTTAGTTTGTTCATTTTCACTCATTTCTTAATTCATGCGTTTGTGAGCTTCCCTTTGCCAGACGAAGCATGCACTACATGGTCCCTGAAAAGGACAATGTTAATTTATAGTATAGTTCCCCAGCGATGAAGTCCAGGTCTCGTTTTGAGCCCCTCCCTGTGAAGCTATCATTTTGAGCGGTAGTATATGGCTCTGTCAAATTTCGACCCAATCATTGTCAAGAGAACAGTGGCAGGTGATCATAAACAAAATGTGAGGTGTATTAGGTCCCATTTCTGTGCGTGCTTTTGAAGTTTTTCAAAACCTTCCGGCCAGCCCAATGTTTCCGGCAGAATGCGCGAACTACTTCACGAGACGATTCGCGTCTCTTTCTGTCTTTGAGGCAATTCGTACGTATACTTACCTTCGAGGACTGTTCTTCACGAGTGCGAGAAGAATGGGTTGGCAGCTGTGCAAAAGCGACATTTTCGGCTTTTGAAAGCCGCGGAAATGACGCTGAAGAGTAGTGATCCTCGTGTGCTCCTTGGAAGATCCGCGTGCTCTTTGGGAGTCCCCTTGCGCTATATCTGGGGTGTTCCGATACCAAGGGCCTGCAGCGAGCATACAATCAGAAGTAGAGAAAAACTGGACGTGGAGAACGCAGAAAAGTAGCGTGTTTAGCCATGGTTGGGCGCTTGGCTAGGTGTGCGGCAGCACGAACGGGCTTATGAAACAGCACCTGTGTATCACTAAACTACAATCCCATTCTCGTTTTCTGAGCAAAGAAAATGGCACGCTACTGAAGCTGCAGACCCATTCACCTCGCACACGCCAGAACCAGGATTCCCGTTGAATGTACAGGTTGTCTTCAAAGGATGCTGCTCAATGTAAGTTCCATGCGAGTCTTGCTCTCGAACAACCCGCTGCAATCAGGCCTTTCCAGTAGTGAAGAGATGTTCACCGTGGGGTTTCCTGCAAAGTGGTCAAGGCGCACTTTGGCGACGGAGGGGAGGGGCATTTTGCACTTTCATTGCTTCACTAGTTCCGGTTTACAAGTCTCACTCTGGTGAAACTTGTGAACTGTTGTGAAGCCTGAGCAAGCTCCTCTAGCCAACATCCTACTTGTGTCACCTGAAGGTATCAACTCGAGAAAAGGCTACCTCGATGTGTCGACGCATCGATGAAAAGTGAAATGCCCCCCCCCCCGTGCGCCAGTGGTCAGTCGTGGAAAGTCTCCACGAATTTGGAAAAACTTCTACTAGCGTAAATTGAAAAAAATGTTTTTAAGACGAGTTGGCCGCTGCTGCTCTTGAAGTTCTCCTTTCACTACTGTAGTTTTTACAGCCAGCAGCGGGAGCCGAAGCCGGAGCAAATCCCAACCCTTATGGCGAACGCCACGTGATAGATTTGACAGAGCAAGAAGCTGCAGCTATTCAACGTATAAAATCTATGGGATTCCGAGTTCCGGACGGTCTGATTATCGAGGTAGCGTTTACCTTTTGCGCCCTCTCTTTCAAGGCTGTCTGCTGTTTCACCTGTTTCACCCCCTCACCTTTTCACCAAACATGGACGAGAACGCTACTTTAAGGTTGCGCCCACTCATTGCCGCTGCGGTTTTAGCGCCGGCTTTTTGAGCGCCCAGCGGTTTTAGTAAATATTCAATACATATATTGCTTAGTCACTCAAAACGGGATTCAGAAAGGGTGTGCTACTCAAAGACTGCGCACTCATTGCCACTGCGCTTTTAGCCTCAGCGTTTTAAGCGTCTAACAGCGTTTTTAGTAAATATCCGATACATATGCTTTCCTAGTCACTCAAAACGACTAAAACCCTCCAAACGCTGCCGCAAAGTCTGGACGCACTCTAAAGTGCAAAGCAGTTTGGCATAAGTGAATCATTCTATCGCTATTTATCCTGTTATAGGCGTATTTGGCTTGTGACAAGAATGAAGAAATGGCCATCGATTACATTTTAAACAGAATGAGTGTGAGTATAAAGAACCTTGTATTTATTTATTCGTATATATTTTACGTTTTAGTTTTTGTCGATCCCTGTTTATGTATGTCTATTCAGGAAGATGACATGTGATGTATACGTTTTCGCTTCGAATGGGTTGACGGAGTTTCATCTGAACCACCTTGTCTGTTATTTTTTGTAAAACTTACGCTTCCATTGTTTGATGGCAGAAGATTGCACATAAGTGTTTGGTAGAGAGTTTCGCTTTTGAGAGATGATGATAACGGTTGATAGTATGCTTGAAGTGAATGGTCCGTTCTACTGGCGGTACTCACTCATTACTGAATTACATCACTATGGTGTGCGTTATTTATACTGGTGTTTCTTTTTTTCACATCTAGAGTGTATTTATAAAATGTTTATCGATTGGTGTTCATAATGAAATATTTTTGTGCTTTTTCATTAGCTTCATGTATTGTGGATAACCACATAGCATTCCTGGCGAACGTTTTTGATCACTATTTCTTCAATTTGGCTACGTATGAAATACTCACGCAGGTCGACATGAACCCGGAAGAAATGGAAAAAATCCAGGAGGAGAGGAAAGAGTATGTGAAAAATTTGGGCATAGAATACCGATATGGGTGCTACGAGGTAGAGTTAATTATTTCTGAAGTTAACACATTATATATAACCAGAAGCGTTCCCGTCCTGCCTTGTATATCACTCCTTGAAATCAAGGTACCACGGTCGCTGCAACCTGCGCTACTAATCTGGTGTCCCTCGGCGTCTAAGGCCCCTTATCAAATCATATCAGATGCTATCACCTCCTGTCACCCACCAAAGATGTTCCCATCCTTCCGTGTACATCACTTCTTGAAATCACGCTTCCGTAGCTGACGCAACTTGCGCTACGAATTCGGTCACCCTCCCCTTCTAAGGCCCCTTATCGAATCTTATCAGGTGTTATCACCTCCTGTCACCCACCAAAAGTGTTCCCGTCCTGCCATGTATATCACTTCTTGGAACTGTCATCCTATCTTTTCTGCGACGCTCGCTATGAATTTCGTGACAGACAGACAGACGCACACACAGACACACACACGGACATAGCCGATTATATATAGTAGCATTACTAGAATGGGAAAGTGGGGGTCCATTTTTCAGGGTTGGGGTTTTTCTGCTTTAGCATTTGCGGTCTGTTAGCGGCGTGAGGCTGCGTCCATTTGCGACGATTATGAAGTCCGATCTCGATGGTCCAGATGGATATCGGCACTACTGGAGAGACCTTCGTCGCGATCCATTGCTGTTCTCGAGGCGAAATTTCGGAGGAATGACAAGCCTATGGATAAAAGAAGCATATGTATTGATTTGAAGAAATGGCGAATCCACGGAATGGGAGAAAGTGCAGAATCCGCAGAAATGCCGAAATCGATAGCAAAGGCTACGTGTTCGCCTGCCTGCCTCGCTACCTGTCGCGTATTCAGAGAAATGGCAGTAACGTGGTATGGGCAGAAATAGGGCTCCAATAAGCATACCTTCCTTTTTCTCCCGACTCCGCATTTGCCAGTTCCGCAGATTCCGCGGATTTTCGGAATGAAAGTGGCCGAATATCTTGGCTTTTGAAAACGGTTTTCTGCCTGGGCTGCCAGGTTCACTCTTTGCTAAGTGTAGTTCGGGATATCCAAGGCACGGCACCACGCATTCCTCAATAGCTGACTCGACGTGGCGTTCGACCATAGAATTAGTACGGTCATGGCAGCACAAATTCCATGCTATTGATTTATGGTCTCAGAAATTCGATCCAACCTTCCATTTCTATGTTCTATGGATCGTGGATTCATTATACGACAGTTTTAACAGGAGGCTGATAAAAGCTATGGGGCGAGGGCGGACTTGATTGATTTGACACCGGAGCGTGGGAGACGGTAAAGAGGATCGTAATTTGCCGCACCGCCACGCGCGGCGATGGGCGCGGCGTTTTCATAACTCGTTTTAACCTGTCGAATGGAGCACCGGACTTCATGTAGACCCCGTCATCGTAGACTGTTTTCGGTCCTTAATTGCATGTTGTCGCCATCTACTACCTGGAACCATCGTCCTTTGCAGGCGAGACGTCGCACGCGACCGAGCAGCGCGGCGAATTACGATCCTCTTGTCACATACCCCGGAGCCTTGATCCAACCAGCTATGAATACTAGGTTCGACTTGCTGTCTTGCTCATGGATGTCCTGGACTACACCTTTGCCCTCTCAGCACTAGTTCCGAGCGTTTTGGGCCATGTTTTGTTAGAGGAAGGAACTTTCGGTACTCTCGGTGATCAAGGGAAATCTCGTATAGCCGTGATCCTTTTGTAATCTGCATAGGCTTCCCCGCTGCTATTTTATAATTCCGCTCGAGGATGTAAGCTTCTTCGGTTTGAGAACTAATAATCTTCTACGACTACAGTAAGTTGCGCGTCACCTAAAGCAGTGACTGCTTGCTCAGAAGCATTAGTAAGCGCTTTCCAGTTGTTGCTGTTCGATGTTGAGGTGCTAGTCCGAATGCTGGCATGGGTGAAGTCTTTGCCCATAACTCATGGACGACATTCTTCTGATAAACACTGAGTGCATTTAAGATCCCCAGAGAGATCAAGTGCACTAACTTCTGCGGATTTTAATAATCCATGAGCCAAATCCCTGAAAGTTCTGAAGTGCTCAACCAACCAACTATAGTTTGTGACATTGCAATTTGTCGGGGCGGCGAGCGCAGCGCGGCACGAGCTCGCGTCCGGCTGCCTTGCTCTACCAATGGTGATCGAGCAATGATCGATGTAGGAAGGAATCAGCCACTGGTGGGAAGGCCGCAGGTGGGAACCGCTGGATTGCGACCCGACTGGTCGCGGTGATAACTGTATGCTTGTAGCGGAACAGTTTATATTGCAATGATGGGCAACCTTCAAGTGGAGATGTTTTCAAGCAGTAAACATTGCCGAGGAATTTCCGCACTTCTTACTCTTCACGACGTCACACCTTAGAACTCGAAGTGTATCTTTTCTTCAAAAGTTGTCGCTGAGATTGATTCGAACAGAAGTTTGCCAACAGGCTCGCCCCGATCCCCGAAAAAGAATAACTTATCCGCAGGGAGGCCATCGCTACGAGTGTACACGCAACAGGCCTGTGTAGGCGTCATTGCTTGTGACCAGAGTACCGAACATTTTTACTCTACACAGATGCGAGATTCATGTCTGTTGCACTTTCACTGACAAGTTTTCAAGGGTTTCGTGATTCGAGTTGTTTTGACGTCGGCGCTAATGGTGCAGACGCTAGCTGTTTTCGCGTCAAACTGATGGAGTCCGCAGTGAATAGGTCCAATCTGTCTTCGGAGTCAAACTTTCCGCTCTTCATCACAAACCTCGATAAGAATCCAGCCCAAATTTCCAAGAGTGGGCGTCGTGAAGCGGTAAACATTGCCAGAATTCCCTATAACTGACATTCAAAGTCAGCATTCAGGAACTGCCCGGATAGTTAATATTTGAAGAGAGAGAGAGAGCAGAGAGCCCTATAAAAGCTGCGGGCAACTCGAACTCAGAGCTTCACCTCGGGTAGTTCTGTAAAAAGGCCGTGGAGTAAGTAATAATCACAGTGGTTGACGTGATATTGCTTTTTTTAGAAGTGGGGGGCCTCACATTGCAGCGAGGCCGTCGGCCTCTGAAGGAGAAATTACGTTCCAAGATTTGCAAATTGCTTTCTCCTAAGGGACCCTAAACAGCTTGCTTCCCATTTCCAATCCTGAATGGACGTTTAAGCCGTGAAGATGAACCGAAATGAACGAAGAATGTGTTAACTGATGCAGCTCGTCGTTGTCATGTTGTGTTTCATAGTAGAGGCCAGTTCACGTACCACACGACACTGGAAAATGCCTCTCTGGTTAACGACGCTGTCTCTAACGCTGTCTATCACTGAATAAACTTGTTGCTACCTTATATGCTAATACAGCCACAGTCGACATATCGATACATACATGAGTCCAATTTATTACCAGATCGCCTCGTCCGTGCTGACGCGGCGCGGCTCCTTCTGATACGGTCCGGCTGCGCTGCGGGCGCGGCTTCGCCGCGCGTACTTTCTTTCACATATTTCTAGACTCAACTGATATCCGCCTTTTGTTCTGTACTCCACTTTTCCCCTGTCTCTGAAGCTACTCGTCAGAGCTATTTACAGATTCTGTCGTACTTCCCCCACAATTTTTGTGGGCCCTCCACAATCTTCACCGGCACTCTGCCTGACCTTAATCCACTTTTTTTTCCGGTGTCTGAAGTGTTCTGGAACCGTTCTACAGAATTTTTGTCTGGCTCCGCCCACCTCGAAACAGGTTTCGCCCCCAATTTTTGTGCCCCACAATCCTCACTGGCGACCCTCTGCTGACCTTGCATGCCACTTCTTCCGTCTTCGGAGCGTTAGAAGATACTTTTGTCTGACTCCGGCCCACTCCGAGTAGGCCCGCCACAATGTTTTTTGCCCCACTCGCTCACCCGTCGACCCTCCTAGACCTAAGTCCACTTTTTTCGCTGTGTCAGGAGTTGCCTGAAATACCAGAGGCTACAAGTACTTTTAAAATGAATACCCTGCGATTTAGGGCAAGCTCCGCCCACTGTCTCAACACACTTTGAGAGTGCCCTATATTCGCTGGATATTCACATTCTACACTGAGTTTTTTGCGACTTCCAAACACTCCCGCGAACCGGGTTACTGAATTTTGCGAGAAGCACCGCCCACCTTGAATACGCCCCGCCCATTTAGTGTCTGCTACTGTTAGTCTGGCGACTCCTTACTAACCTTATTCCCTTTTTCCCCCATCTTTAGGCTGCCCCGGAAGCGAATTATGAACATTTTTGTGCGGAACCCCAAACTTTCGGGAGTGCCCCGCCCACTGTGGGCGGAGCTTTCCTCTTAGGTCAAGTGTGCTTTTTCATTTCTTGTCCCACTCCCTACCGCTCGCCCACCGTTAGACGGACCTCTCCAGTCGTTCTTTCAGGTCGCAGCCGATTCTCCGGACAGAACAAACCTTACAAACTCACAAACAAACAAACAAACAAAGCAGACACGCGAATTATATACAATTGTGATACTAACGTCAGTTGACCGAGCGAC